GCAATGGAGGGCAGTTTGGGAATAACAACAACACTGATGGTGATCAGCAGCAGCTGCAATATGATCTTGATGTTGTTAGGGATCTTGTTAGTTGCAGCAGCAGCACTAATATTGTGCATGATCACAATTCCAACATCAACACCAACAACTTCTTGATCTTTGATCATTACGAAAACAAGCCAGATGGTCACAAGGGAATGTACTTCTACTAATGACGCCAAGTCAACAACAACGACAACGACGACGACGATGATTTGTTAACAACGCACGTACTGCATGGAATTTTCTACCCTACCACCCTCATGTATCTAGGGCAATCAGATGTACATTAAACAATATATGTGAAATCTGATGGTCCTAGATACATGCGATTACTACGTACCCAACGACGGGGTAAGGTAGTAAAATTAAAGCATAAGCAAGATTGGAATTAAATTAGAGATGGATAATCATCATTTTGTCAAGGAATTTGAGGGTAGCTAGCTATGTTGAGAAGTAGTGTTTATGTACTTAATCTATGCACATTTGAGCTTTATTAGTTCTCATTTTAGAGGAGAAGAACTTTATCAGTTAAGTAATCATATTAGAGAGTTCCATTTTATGATGCTTTTTAAATCATGTTGTTTTATGTAGTAAGCTATATAGTCGATCTAGCTATCGGAATGCAATTTTTTCTTCTCTTCTACGGTTACAATTAATGTTTTTCTTGCATTCCTTTCATGCAATCTCTTCTAAATTAAGTTATGATATCTGATGTTATCATTCTGGGCATGACAGTTTTGACCAAGCAATATAATGCAAGTACGTAGTAAAATATAAAAAGATCAATAAAAAAGAACTATATATATAGGAAAAAAAGAAAGTCTATATATCGACTTTCCTGAAAGATCATTCCCTTTTAATTGCAACAGTCCACTTTTCACATTTACCAACGCATAAGCTATGTTTGACCATTAATATCTTTCATTCCTTATAAGTAAAAAAATTTAAAAAATCAGATTTTGAAAATTTAGAATGAGAAGAATTTAACAATATTTTTTATAAATTTAATTTATAATACAATAAAGTAGAATACATGAATAGTGCAAAAAAATTCAATGTTGCAATTAAAAGAGAACGGAGGTGTACTATGTATGTAGAAATGACATAGCAAGTTTCACACTTCTCTGCTGAAATTGACCACATGTGTAGTGTTAATAAATTAGGGACTCCTATATTATATTGTCATTATATTGTACAAAATTTCATGATCAATAGTTGTCCTTTTATATTTATATATTTACTAATAAAATAAAATAAAAATATGTCCTTCACGGTTTCTGGTAAGTGGTAGCACAAGTGTGTGAGACAAGACAGCTATAGTTGGACCTTGGTTTATGTACGTAGAACCAATATAATCCTACCTTTCCCCTTTTCTCAACAATAACTATTATTTTGTACTCCGGATCGGAGAACATAGAGGACACGTTTTATCGGTTTTCATTGATAAATGAATGTTAATTTAATATATATGAACGTGCATATATATGTTGACCGTAATTGCATTTTGAAAAGTTTAAAATTATGAATTATAAATACAATTCAATTAATATTTTCACATGTATGGCGCTTTGGTTCTCAAAATATACATTTTATAAATATATATTTGCTCAAAAACGGTAAGAATAAATGAGTCCAATTATGGGAATTAAAAATGATAAAATGATGTTTGAGAAATTGTGATGTGGTTAATTAACTCCAACTTAGGGAATTTTATGTATTTTTATTCCATCCATGGAGTAACTACATAAAACTTCCTTTATTTTTGTCAAACAAAGAACTTCCCGTCAAACTATGCGATAGCTAAAGTTGAATGTGTCAAAAGCTCTTTCATAATTCGGATGAGGTATTGATTGAGATAAGTTCACGCATTTGTTGCTGGCCTGGTGTAAATCATCATTTGCGTGAGACTTGAATGGATATATCATATCACATATGAGCTCATATCAAGGGAAAAAATATAGTAGCCGGAAAAATAGTTTATCAGCTTTTTAGTAACGGTTACTCCGTAGCTTTTAGTGATCGAAAAGATTTTAAAAAGAAAATACAGTAGTTGTTTGGTAAAAAGCCGATTGTTTGATTTAGCTTTGTTTGGTATACAAGCTGTTAGGACTAATTAATACTAGAAGCTACAGACTTATAAAAAAAACATCTTTTATTTTTTATAAAAGCTCTTAAAAATTGGCGTGTCAAACATACAACTAGAAGCTTTTGGGTATGTTTGGCACAACTAGCTGAAAAGATACTTTTATGAGCTTTTTAGTACTGTTAGCTTTTAGTGACTGAAAAGATCTTAAAAAGAAAAGGCAGTAGGTGTTTGGTAAAAAGCCGACTGTTTGATTTAGCTCTGTTTGGTATACAAGCTGTTAAGACTAATTAATGCTAGAAGCTACGGACTTATCTGAGATGCTACTCACTGTAGCATCTCAAAAAAGATCTTTTATTTTTATAAAAGCTCTTAAAAATTGGCATGCCAAACACACAACTAGAAGTTTTTAAAGACTTTTTAAATAGTACAAAAGCTAGAAGGCATGAACTTATGCCCGCTAAACATAGCCTTTAAAGACTTTTTAATCAGTACAAAAGCTAGAAGGTAAGAACTTATGCCGTCAAACATAGCCTTAAAAGCCTTGTGAGCCTATTAATAGTAAGACAAAAGGTTTTACATCTACACTTAATGAGTTATTTGTACGTGAGTATTATTATACCTCACAATACATTTAGGCATTTTTGGAAAATAGCTTTCGGCCTAAAAACATTGGTTTGACCATATTTAGTATTTGAATCAGTAAAAATGTTGATCCATGTTGCTTGACAAATTAAATACTTGTTCATCTATAGCATTTTGGGTAGAATCACTAAAATAGAAACGATGCAAACAACATCATTTCGGATTTTAGGATTATGAAATAGGGCATTTTCTAATAACCGACCAAAAGCTAAATTATAAAACATCTTTGTGTAACCCACCAACTCAATCCATTACTCAAATACATAGCATCCGCTGTCTACGATCCACTAGTGTATCCCGCTAATAGTTGACCGCTATGGCGCTAACCGATGATTGACAAAGCACATACACTCTTAATTGGTACAGGCCAAGATGATAGATCATCCCAATGACTTCGCGTATGGATCATAACTATATATCGCAGTCTGAATAATACGTACCTCGGTAACATAAACATCTTCTCATTTTGACTTTTCACGGTCTTCTAAGTTGAACTTTGTACGAATATATATTACTCTATTTTAGCAAATACATTTTATAGATGGCTAATTATGTAGAAATATCTTTTCCTTGTATTTCCCCTTGTATTTATGGTAGAGAGATTTGTAGGTATTTTGTTACCTTATTAGAGATAGTCCCCCTTGTATATATTATTAGACATACGCCAATACAAAGACAGGAAGGTTAATTCCTCTTCTATTACTACTTCGTATTCTCACGCTAATATTGCTTCACATTTGCTTTATTATGGTATCAGAGCCTGCGTAATAGGCCTTGATATTTTTCGATCGGAAAAATGGTGAATCCACAGACAACTGCTGGTCAGCGGGATGAACGGAAGAAGATGCATGACCCCTCTTCGCCTTACTTTCTTCATGGTTCCGATACACCGGGACTGAATTTGTGCGGTATCACTCTTCGTGGAGAAGAGAACTACCGGGAATGGTCCGTTGCTATGAAAAACGCTTTTCGGGCAAAGTGTAAACTTGGATTTCTTGATGGATCTATCCCAGTTCCAGAAGACAAAAATGAGGCAGAGGTTTGGTACACTGTCAATTCGATGATGGTCGGGTGGATCATGTCGTCAATTGATACTACTCTACGCCCAACCATTGCCTATATGGACTCCGTACATGACTTATGGGAAGATTTGAAGGTGCGATTCGAGGCAGCAGATGGAATCCGTTTTCATGAACTGAAACAAGCCCTGCAAAGCTGCAAGCAAGGCGGAGATACTGTGTCCACGTACTACGGACGTTTGAAGGCTATTTGGGAGGACTTCGATGGGTACAGAACAGTCCCAAAATGCACTTGTGGGGCTTGTTCCTGTAATCTTGCAAAACAGATTGCTAAGAGTATAGAGAAGGAGAAGATACATGAGTTTCTTCTCGGGCTTGACGGGAATCTGTACGGTGGCATACGATCCAATATATTAGGTGGGACAGATTTACCTTCCCTTAGCAAGGTATATCATATGCTGATACACGAAGAAAGGCTTTTGAAAGTCACCCGAACGCAGGATATCCGGGGAGAGGCGGCAGCCTTTGCAATGCGTTCCGGGGAAAATTGGAACGTTGGATCCTCTGGCAGAGACAAAAGTAAACTCGTGTGCTCATTTTGCAAAAAAGGAGGACATAAACGTGAGCGTTGCTTCAAACTCACTGGTGAGTATCCGGACTGGTGGTATGCAAACAAGAACGACAAAGGAAAGGATCGTTCTGGTGCTTCTGGGAAAGGCAATAACCGCAAGGGACCTGGAGAGGAGCATGCACGCAGGGGGTATTCTGCAGCAGCTCATGCGGTTAGTGGACCCCAAATGGAAGAGCTTGTTGACCAGGGAGATTCCAGGCCGCCATTACCCACGCTATCTACCGAGCAATGGACCACATTGTTGGAGTTTATGAAAAAATATAACACAGGTGACAAGGTTGAAAAATTGGCAGGTGCGTCATGTGTAAATTGGCTTCTTGACACAGGGGATTCGTACCATATGACGGGTGACAAAAGAATAATGTTTGATATAATTCCTGTTTCTTCTGTACCTGTCACTCTTCCTAACGGAAATGTCACATATGCTAGTCATATTGGACGCGTGAAATTGGGGGGTGGAGTAACTCTCGAACGAGTGCTTCTTGTGCCGAATTTAACTTGTCATTTGATCTCTGTTGGGCGTCTCATTGATGACTTACCGTGTCACGTTATTTTTACTAATAAGTTTTGTGTGATACAGGACCTAACTTTGAAGACGCTGATTGGAGTGGGTGAACGTCGTGGTGGGGTCTATTTTCTTTGTGGTGTTGACTTCGTGAAGGCTTTTCATGTGGATGGTGGTACTACAAATGAACTATGGCATAAGAGAATGGGTCATCCTTCCCCTCGTGTCATCCGTTTACTTTCTGTCACACAAAATAAAGTTAGCAATAGTGGAAATTTTAATAAGAGTTGTGATATTTGTGCTCGAGCCAAACAAACACGTGAAATATTTACTCCCAGTATTAATCGTGCTTTGCATATGTTTGAACTTATTCATTGTGATGTGTGGGGTCCTTACCGGGAACCTAGTACGTGTGGTGCATATTATTTTCTGACAATTGTGGACGATTATTCCCGTGCTGTTTGGGTTCATTTGATGGCAGGCAAAATGGAGGTACCCACTATTATGAAACGTTTTTTTGCTATGGTTCATACTCAGTTCCATACGTCTGTCAAAGTTGTGAGAGCTGATAATGGGACAGAATTTTTGCCATTACGCCAATATTTTCTTGATCACGGGGTTCTATTTCAAACCTCATGCGTTGGGACGCCTCAACAAAATGGACGTGTTGAAAGAAAACACCGTCATATTTTAAATGTGGCTCGAGCCTTACGCTTTCAGGCCCGCCTTCCTATTAAATTTTGGGGGGAATGTATTTTGACAGCATGTTATTTAATCAACCGGACTCCCTCTCTAATAAATGATGGGAAAACTCCATTTGAATGTTTATATGGAAAAGTTCCATCTTATGATCACATTAAATTATTTGGTTGTCTTTGTTACGTACATAACAAGAGTAGTGACAAATTCGAAGACCGTAGTCGAAAATGTGTTTTCTTGGGATATTCTTATACCCAACGTGGATGGAAAGTGTTGGATTTGGAGACTCAAAAACAATTTGTATCTCGAGATGTCCGTTTTGATGAAAATATATTCCCATTTGCTGAACACAGGCCCACCAATTTGAGCTCCTCTCCACCAGCTGAGGTATTTCCTAGAATGGATTATCACCCTTACATTCATGATGATGATTCGGATGTTTTTGGTCCAGATCATGCCCATGACCATGCATCCGTACCGCCATCCAGCCCCCACATCACACATACAGCCTCCGACACTCATATGGCCCCTCACATGCATGCAGATGCATCCACCACGCATGACTCTTCTGCCTCCATGCAAAATAATTCAGAAGTTCCCACTATCTTGGGGCATGGTATGCGGCGCAAGATTCCATCGATTAAATTGCAGGATTACGTCCAGACTCATGCAGCGACATCTGACCCACCCGATCTTCCTACTCCAGTCGTGTCTTCAGGTAATCCTTATCCCTTAACTTGTTATGTTAATTATAACGCTTTTTCGGTTCGCCATCGTGCTTTCCTTGCAGCCATTTCTCTCGAAAAGGAACCATTAACGTATAAAGATGCAGTGCGTGATCCGCGATGGTGTGAAGCCATGCGTCGTGAAATAAATGCATTGGAAGCCAATGGTACATGGACTATGGTAAATTTGCCCGTGCATAAGAAACCCATACATTGTAAATGGGTATACAAAATTAAATATAATAGTGATGGTACCATTGAGCGCTTTAAAGCTCGGCTTGTTGTTTGTGGCAATAGACAGGTTGAAGGAATAGATTATCATGAGACCTTTGCACCTGTTGCTAAAATGACCACTGTACGCACTTTATTAGCGGTTGCTGCTTCGAAACGGTGGGAACTCCACCAAATGGATGTGGACAATGCTTTCTTGCATGGTAATCTTGACGAAGAAGTCTATATGTACCCGCCTCCTGGTTTTTCTTCCTCTCGACCCCGCCAAGTCTGTCGTTTGCAGCGTTCACTTTATGGACTACGGCAAGCACCTCGGTGTTGGTTTTCTCGTCTAAGTTCCTCTCTCATATCTTATGGTTTTACTCGTTCTTATGCAGATTACTCCTTATTTACTTTACGAAAAGGTGTTGACTTTCTCTGCATTCTGGTTTACGTTGATGATTTACTTATTGCTGGCAATAATTCTTCTCTTATTTCAGCTCTCAAGTCTTATCTTGCTCGGTGCTTTCCTGTCAAAGATCTTGGCAGGCTCAAATATTTTCTCGGTCTTGAAGTTGCACGTAGCCCTGCTGGTATTTTTTTATCTCAACGTAAATACACGTTGGATCTCCTTGATGAGCTAGGTCTGTCCGGGTGCAAACCTTCGGATTTTCCGATGGAACAGAATCACAGGCTTGCCTTATCTTCCAGTCCCTTATATTCTCAACCGGAACAATATCGCCGTGTGATAGGCAAGCTTATCTATTTAACTTTGACTCGCCCAGAGCTAAGCTATTGTGTACACATTCTTGCTCAATTTATGCAATCTCCACGCACGGATCACTGGGATGCTGTCATTCGTATTCTTCTCTATCTTAAAGGACAACCTAGTCAGGGCATTTTTCTTAAAGCTGATTCTGACTTACGTCTTCGGGCTTATTGCGACTTGGATTGGGCCGCGTGTCCGCTGAGTCGTCGCTCTCTCACTGGTTACATTGTCTTGCTTGGGGGTTCTCCTATCTCTTGGAAGACCAAGAAGCAACCCACTGTTTCTCGCTCGTCTGCAGAGGCAGAATATCGATCCATGGCTACTGTCGGTTGCGAACTCATCTGGCTTAAGAGCCTTCTCCGATCATTGGGTGTATCTCACTCTCATCCGATGGTTGTCTTCTGTGATAATCAGGCTGCACTACACATCGCTTCCAATCCCGTTTTTCATGAACGAACGAAGCATATCGAGATAGATTGCCATTTTATTCGGGATCTTATTCATGATGGTGTGATTTCTACTAGTCATATTGGGACGGCTTCGCAACCTGCCGACATTTTCACGAAGCCTCTCGGAGCTCAACAATTTCACTTTCTTCTATCCAAGTTGGGCGTCCTCATCCCGACCGCTCCAACTTGAGGGGGGGTGTACGAATATATATTACTCTATTTTAGCAAATACATTTTATAGATGGCTAATTATGTAGAAATATCTTTTCCTTGTATTTCCCCTTGTATTTATGGTAGAGAGATTTGTAGGTATTTTGTTACCTTATTAGAGATAGTCCCCCTTGTATATATTATTAGACATACGCCAATACAAAGACAGGAAGGTTAATTCCTCTTCTATTACTACTTCGTATTCTCACGCTAATATTGCTTCACATTTGCTTTATTAAACTTTGACACTAAACATCTACATATCTATATGTATAAAATTCATAATAAATTAGCATTCAAATAATATGTTTTAAAATGAGATATATGAAATAAATTTTTAATCATAACATAATGTAAGTTTTTAATAATTAATGGTCAAAGTTTATAAAGTTTAACTCAAAAGAGTCAAACTTGGAAGATTCTATGGTTACCGAGGTACGTAGTAATAGTTTAGATAAATACGAACGAGAGAAACTAAAAGTTATGCCCAAGTCATCAAAGTTAGAGAGGAATGTTATGCCCAAGTCATCAAAGTTATCACGTGTGGATTGACATTAATGTTGAGAAGTGGTTCATAAAACTTAAAAGAGAAAGTTGCTGATATAATCTCGTAAGTTTATTTGTGCCAATAGTATTTAATTAGACTCTGTTTGGTAACACTGTTTTTCAACTTATCAGACTTATAGTTAACTTTTTCATCAAACATGTAACTTTTTTATTTTGCGCTCTGAATTGTGTAATAATAAGAAAAAGTAAGGTTGAAGTTACTTTTCTGGTTGTATTGGCTGAAATTACTGTAGATGATCATTTTACCAACTCCCTCTGTCTCATTGGAATGTTCCTGTTCACTATTCATTGGTCAACTTAGGTCACTCCTAATCTTTTACTTTATATATCAAATTTTTATCAAATTGAACTTTTCTTGATCAGGCTTTATAGCGGTTTTAATCTAATTTCTGAATATGTAAATTTTATTTACTAAAAATAAGCGGAGTGTGAACAGGGATCGAGTTGCTTTATCGTCAGTCAAGAATCGTAATCCGAACAGGAACATTACAACGGGACGAAGAGAGTATGTTTTATATAGTTTTTCTTTATCTTATTAATAAATAATATTTCTTAAAAAAATTATAAATTTGCAGAATCAACAAATAAATCTAATCATTTAGCCAAAATTTCATAAATTTCAGCAGAATCAATCGATTCAACCAATTTTTGTGTTATCAAATTTCAATTTCAGTAGGCTTTTAATCGTAAATCATTCAATGCAACAAATAGATTTGTCAACGGGACTTCTCCGTTAGAAAGATGGATGGGAAAAATGTGTGGGCGGCGTTAAAATTTCCGCCTGAAATAGTACATAAGTAGTAGACTATTACTACCTCTGTCTCAATATGATTGTCCTATTTTACCTTATCGGTCCGTCCCAATAAGATTGTCACATACCAAATTTGGTAAAATTTGTGTGGCTCTAAATCATTCTTACTTTATCAATTCAATATCAACCACATAAATCACTTTTTATTAATTTGCGTGTCACTCTTTTTTGTCCCATTGTTAGCGAGACAGATCGAGGGAGTAGTACATAAGTGAAAAAGTGCCTAATTTACCTGCGAGAAAATTTACGGGACTAAAAATTATGGAAAAATTAATAGTACTTCCATCCAACTAACAATGAGACATGAAGAGGTGACACATTTATTAAAAAAATGTGTTTATGAGGTTGATATTTAATTGATAAAGTAACAATAAAGTAGGAATGATTTAGAATCACACAAATTTTACTAAATTAGTTATGAGACAATATTAGTGCAACAGACTAAAAGGAAGGGACGAGTCAACTACACCCCGGTGAGCACAACAATACCATTCTCCAAATGGCAATTGACCTGGTTAGTCCATTACCGAGGGGCACCTCCAACAACAGGTACATCATTGTGGTCATCGATTACTTTACGAAGTGGATTGAAGTGTAAGTCCTCGCCAGCATCAGCGAGGCCAGGTGTGGTCACTTTGTCCTAAAAAAATATCCTCACTAGGTTCGGCTTCCCCCAACAAATCATATATGACAACGGAACCCGATTTAAGGCATCCCCCTTTCAGGCCCTTCTAGCGGCATGATATGGGTATCAATTATTCTTCAAATGGTGCTCTCGTTGAACAATGCTGAGTTTTGGATTCAAGTGTAGATATCCCTATGGGTTTCTTTTATGTGGAAAATGCTGTGAAAATTGGGAATTTTGTGGGAAGGTTCATAAAGGTTGATGAACGCGCATAACTTCTCGGTAAAATGGAACACTTTTAAGAGAATAAGAGTGAGTCAGGATCTAACTAGGCCTTTGAAAAAGAAGTTATTTCTACAAAAAGAGGGAGTTGGTTTATGTATTGCCTTTCGTTATGAGAAATTGTCCAGTTTCTGTTTCTTGTGTGGCATTA